GGGAAGCATATTAAATATCCCACGGATTGCCAAAAGAATATGTCTGGGAGAAAGTGCACCCAGGATGCTCCTGACGAGGATGATAAAATTTTGTCTTACGTACTTTGACTATGTTGTTGGGGAGTGGGAGCTATTATTTGGAAGGAGTCATTACGCTTGGAAAGGTGGAAAGTCAGAGAAAGAGAGGAAGGCCTTCCACAAGATGAACTGACACAATGACTCAACCAATGGGTTCGAATTTATCAAGGATGGCGAGGATGGCACAGGATAGGGCAGGGTTCAGATTCATTGTTCATAGGGTTGCTATGAGTTGTAGTCAATGACACATAACAACAAAAACAACAGTAATTTCAATTCTATGCCCAAGAAAAAGTTTTTGTCCAGTAATCCACATGCTTCAGTGTTTTCATTGGTTGATTTATTCAAAAGTAGATCTGCAGGTCTTTCTCAAGGGCCAAACAATGGGTAGACTCAAGCTTCCAACCTCCTACTTAGTAGTCAAGTGGGTAAATAGTTGGCATCACCTATCATCTCCCATCTTCTTTCTGCAATAAACAATTCCCTTCTCCCAAGCTAAGAAGTTCTGTAGTAGAATTTTTACCTCACATGCAGAAGACTCAGGTTCAATACACTTTGTGCACAGCAACTAGTCATTTGTCAGTGGAGGCTTGTGTGTTACGATGGTGAACAGGTGTTAGCAGCCCTCTCAGACTAAGACTAGCAAGAAAGGTCTAGCGATCTACTTTTGAAAATAAATCAATTAAAACTCCACGGACCCCAATGTTGTAAGGACATGTGACTAGGCTGGGATTGTTCCACTGTGCAAGGAGTAATCTTTAAGACAATAACAGGCTTAACAGTGGCTAACAATGATAAACCTGAGAGATTTTAGAACATAAACAAGCTATACCAAAAAAAGCCTGGGGCTATAACCAAGAATTTTATGTTTTTTGAGTTTTGCCCTTATGTGTGCAAATACTCTAAATACTTCTCTGTGTATACAGATATTTATGCATATCTGTAGACACATAGCGAAATATGTATTTGCAGACACAACTATCCCTGAAAAGATGCATAAAAAACAAATGACACTCTCTACTTCAGGCAAAGAGGGAAGGTGAGACAAGAGTGAGGGAAACCCTCACTCTTCATTCAATCTTTTGCATTTTTGCACCATGAAATAAACCTTTACTTTCCAACACATCTGTATACATATGTATACAAAATTTAATTTTTATAAGGGGCAAAACCCTAATCTTTCAGTAATATTAGATAAATAACTAATTATAGCTGGCCCAATCAATGATAATCATGCAAGACTGAAATGCCAATATTAAAAACATTAATGGCACAGCAAAAACTCACTCCAAGAGGAGATAAAATTCAAAGATAATGTAAGTATTTATAGAAAAAGATTACAAAATATACAAATGTCATCTTGATGACTAGAAAAATACATACTCATTTCCCCATTTGTTAAAAAAAAGCTGTTTCAATTAACATTCTCCAATCTTATATAAAGAAAATTATGTATTTTTATACATTGTTGTTATTATATGCTTTTGAGTCAGAACGGATTCAGCTAACCAGTGGGATTTCAGAGGCTTTCAAATCAGGAGTGGCATCAACTTTCTAAACAACATGCCTCTAGAAAACTCTGTAAACATTGATAAATGTCGATAGTTGTAGAGGGGCTTCAAGCCTTTTGTTCATAGGGTAGTATATGAGTCGTGCTTGACTTGAAGGCAATCAACAACAACAAATCACATGGGAGGAGAATGTTCATTTTTTCTTCCATGAGTAGCTGGTGATGTACTCAAATGATGTGCTTTTGGGTTGGCAGCATTAACTCTATACCCACAAGAAGACCAGAGCTCTCTTTTCAATACAAAATATATAAAATTTTAGGATTAATTATGACAGTATTGAATAATATACTCCTTAAATGAAAAGATACAGCTCACTTTTATAAGTGAGAAAAAAAATTGTCAGTATTTTGTTATGTTTCTTCACATTAAAGAGTATTTTTAGAATTATGAACAGGTATGCCTTTTTAAAAAACAAAAACACTAGAACACCTCATGATTTAATCTGTGGACATTTAAACAGATAGCAATATAACATTTCTGTAAAAGAAATGTTTATAGTTGTCAATTATATCCACTAGAACATTTTGACTGTGTATATAAAGCCACCATCATATGATCTACCACGCTGGAGGGGAAAAGGGGAGGAAAAATGGGTTGCTTTCAGAGTTAAAAAAGTCAATTCTAGATGCATCTTGAAATGCAATGTTGTGAGTGACAGGATAATATCCATAAGCGTACAAGGAAATCCAGTGAATACCACCATCATTCAAATATATGCACCAACAACCAGAGCCAAAGAGGAGGAAATAGAAGATTTCTACCTACTTTTGCAGTCAGATTGATCATACATGCAATCAAGATGCATTAAAAATAATGGATGACTGGAATGCAAAAGTTGGGAATAGAGAAGAAGCAGCTGGAAAACATGGACGTGGTGACAGAAATTAAGTCGAAAATAGAATGAAAGAATTTTGCACAATCAACATCAACAACTTATTCACTGCAAATACATTCTATAAGAAACATAAATGTAGGCTATACACATGGATTTGACCTGACTGAATGCATAGGAATCAGACAGATTACATCTGTGGAAAGAACTGCTGGAGAAGCTCAGTATCAGCTGTGAAAACTATGCCAGGTGCTGACTGTGGAATAGATCATCAAGTACTCCTATTCAAGTTCAAGCCAAAGTGGAGGAAAATTAAATCAATTCCACAGGAAACAAAATTTGACTTTGAGTCTACCCACCTGAATTTCAAAACCATCTCAGGAACAGGTCTGAGGCCTTGGACACAAATGAGCGAAGACTAGATGAGCTGTGGGAGGATATCAAGAATATTATTCAGAAAGAATACAAAAGGTCATTACAAAGACAGATGAGGCAGAAAAGACCAGGATGAATGCCAGAAGAAACTCTAAATATTGCACTGGAGCACCAAGAAGCCAAAGCTAAGGGAAGAAATCAAGATATGAAAGATCTGAACAGAAGATTCCAGAGGGCAGCGCAGGAAGACACAGTATTACAAAGAAATGTGCAAGGAGCTGGAGTCAGAAATCAAAAGGGCTGAACTCACTCAGCATTTCTTAACCTCAAGGAACTGAAGAACAAATTCAATCACTGAGTTTCAATACTTAAGGATGCTTTGGGCAGAAGATGAAATGATCCAGGAAGCATTAAATGATGATGGAAACAGTATACAGAGTCACTGTACCAAAATGACTTGGTGGACACAGAAGAATTTCATGAAACGGTGTATGAGCAAGAGCAAGTGATGATGAAGGAGGAAGTTCAAGCTGCTCTGAAAGAAATGGCAAAAAACAAGACCCCAGGAATTGATGGCATACTGATTGATATATTTCAAAAAACACATGCTGCCCTGGATGTGCTCACCAAGTTATGCCAAGAAATCTGGAGGAAAACCACCCAGCCTACAGACTAGAAGAGATCAAAGAAAGGTGATTAGACAGAATGTGGAAAATTGATGAACAGTATCATTGACAACACATGCAAGAAAGATTCTGCTGAAGATAATCCAAAAATGACTGCAACAGCACATCAATAGAGAACTGCCTGAAGTGCAGGCTGGATTTAGAGAGGCCATGGCACTAGGGATATTACAGCTAATGTCAGATGGATCCTGACTGAAAGCTGAGAGTACCAGAGAAGTGTCTATCTGTATTTCATTGACTATGCAAAGGCATCTGACTATGTGGATCACAACAAACTGTGGCTGACTCTGAGGAGAATGGGAATCCCAGAACACTTGATTGTGCTTATGAGAAACCTATACTTGGACCAGGAGGCAGTCATCAGAACAGAGTAAGGAAACACTGCATGATTCAAAACTGGGAAGAATGTATGTCAAGGATGTGCCCTGTCTCCATACTTTTCAATCTATATTTGAAGAGATTGTCTAGGAGGCTGGGCTCTATGAGGAGAAGTGTGGCATCAGGATTGGAGGTAGATTCATCAATAATCTGCGTTATGTGGATGACACAACCCTGCATGCTGAAACTGAGGAGGACCTGAAACACAGAGCAACGAGGCCAGTCTGGAGACTAAGGTATGCCTGACACAGGCCATAGTTTCACAATTACTTGCTATATATCAAAGAGCTCTACAATGACTAGGGATGACATAAGGAGAGTTGATGCCTTTGAGCTTTGGTGCTGGAGAAGAGTACTGAATATACCATGGATTGCTAGAAGAACACATAAGTTCATCCTGGGGAGGGCAAAGACAGGCTGCTCCTTGGAGGCAAGGATTCTGAAGCTTCATCTGACATACGTTGGACATGTTGCAAGGAGGGTCCGGTTGGTGGGGACAGTGCAGGAGAAGACCCTCAATGAGATGGACTGATTCAGTCACTGGGGTAATGGGGATAGGTACTGTCAGAGATAGATTGGCAAGGGACAGAGCAGGGCTTAGGGCTGTTGTACATAGGGTTGCTATGAGTCAGATGACTTGACGGCACATAACACCACCACCACATTACATAGCCAAACACTGAATAAAGAAACACTTCGATGATCACCCAACAATTCCAAACGTAAGTTTTTCTTAAGTTTTATTTTGAATGCAAGTATTAGATAACTAAATAATTTTGCTTTTATTGCAGGCAGCCAGTGTCATGCAGACAGAAGTAAATATTTTTTTAAAGTTTTATTGAAAGAAACAACAGATATGAAAAGGATTTAAAATACCAATCCAAAGTTTTCTTAAGAGTTTTAGATATGCATTGAAAGGAATTCTCTTCTATTACACTACAAATATCATTACTCTAACAATAAAAAAGTAAGTGTTATCACTGTAATTGATAAGAAATTTCTAGTCAGTACAACTTATAACTCTTATCAATATTTGCTTCTAGAATCATTTTACTCTAAATTAAAAACTGCTCTATTTACCAGCCCTTGTTCAAACAGCTCTTTTTCTTCTACTGTCCACTTTACTGAGTAACAGGCTGGTTTTGTAGGAGACTGCACCCTGAGAGAAAAAAAAAAGAAATTTCTGAAAAAGAACATTCTATACTTATATAGCTAAAGATTACAGAAAGCCATGTAATATATTCTGTACTTTTAAAATTTTAAAAACAAAACAAAAAAATTAAAAGCTGCAGCCTCTACTTGGGGGAAGAGGTTTACATGCATACTTCGCTAGCTCAGAATGAAAGGAACATCTAACCCTCGGTCTGAGTGAGGATACCTCTAGGGCAGTAAGGAAGTGAGTAAGGAAGCTAGTGGGACAATAAACGGGACTTCTTAGATTGGACACAAAGCAGCAGATTAATAAATTCCCAAATCCTGAAAGGCAGGCAAAAGTTTAAAATGGTTTCAGAAACATTATTAGCTCTTTGATTCTTCCAAGTAAATCCATATAAGTACTGAATCAGTGAAAACATTATTTAAAATATACTATCTTAAGAAACTATAAACAAAATTCTGATGCTCATTAACTTAACTTCCTTTTGTTGTGATTTAGCAAAATACAAAAGCCAGAAGCTGTTCAGTGCTCAAGCGAGTAGCAACTGCAAATCTAAATGATGAATTTAGTCTATCATTTTAAGAGATCATGAATTTTTATGCTTATAAAGAATATTCTTCAATTATAATGAAAGACTACTTAGAAAAACTACTTAGTTCTTTACATAACTTACCTACATTAATTAAAATTTTGTCTAAAGTGTTTGTCCAAAGTAACTGAAATTTAAATCAAAGATCAATAGAAAGCAAGTCAATTTCTAATATTTTAGCTAACAACTTCTTAATCTTTGTCCGCAAATCCTTAAGAAATAATTTTTTCCATAATCTGATACAATCAACTGCTTAGGGTCATCTAAGAACTTCCTGGTAAACAAAGACTGTCATAAAAGTATTTTGTTGCATTAACATCTATATGACTAACTTTAAGATGGCTTTTCCAAAGGAAAATTCTATTTTTCTCATTAAAACTTCCAGTTTCTAATAAAGTAAGTTTTGAAAAGACAAAACATAAGTACATACATGCTTTTTCCTGTCTTCTGCAGACTGCATCAAATAAAAAAAAGAAAACAGCTTATGATGATGTTTTTAAAAATCCAATTCAAACTCTTAAAAAGTATTACAGATGGGTTTTACCTTTTCATATATTTTTTGTCCTTTTCCTTTAGATTAGGCCAGAATTTTTCTGGAAGTGATTTTTTAGACAAATAATATCTGTATAATTATTGAGGAACTTTTAAAACAGTAATAAAATTAAAGACTTTTTATGTCATTTATACAAAGTAGGGACTTACAACCATGAAAGTCATACTAGAATTCTAGATAAACTAATTCCTCTCAAAGCCATTTCTAGGTTTGCAAACATTACCTTATAAACTTACGTACCTCTAGGATTGCTATATGGATTAGGGTATTAACATGAAATAACACAATACAGTGCAGTACAAAATATGTGCTAAATAAATGCATTTCTCTGCTCCTAGACGATACAAATGATTAATGTGCTGGCTAACTGAGACACTGGTGATACGACTTCATCCACAGATGACTGAAGAAAGGCTGATGCTGACTTTTGAAAAATTAGCCACTAAAAATTCTGTTCTACTCTGACACATAAGGTTACCATGAGTCAGAACTGGCTTAATGGCAAATGTCTTTCTCTTCCTATAACTTATAGCTAACATTCAATGGATACTGCAGGCCTTTTAAAAGTGGAGTAATGGCAGGCAAGGATCAAAGATGATCAATTTTATATAACACAATGAAGGGGAATGATCATATGTGAAACAATGTGAATAGAGGAAAGTGTGAAAACAACATATATTCATTTGTATGCATACCAATAGAAAATAATTAAACATAAATTTAAAAAAATAAACCAAATTTTATATGCGACCAAATGGTCAACCATCACTTTAAACAAAGAGAAGGTAAAGAGGCAGGGATACAGTATTACTAGAATGGAACTACCAAAAAAGAAATAATGTTTAAACACTGCAAAGAATGTAATTAGTTACCTAACAGTCCATCCAAAAACTATTGAATGGGAACCTAACTTTCTCTGTAAACTTTCACCAAATCACATCATTATTTAAAAGTAAAATTTAAAAAGTAGCTAAAAAAATTTCAAGTACGTTCAATTTAAATATTTTCTCTACAATGTATGAAGGGAGCTCTGGTAGCCTAGTGACAAGAAACTGCACTACAATCCTGAAGGCAAGCAGTTTGAAACTTCGAGCTGCTCTGCAGGAGGACAGGCAATCTCTTCCTGTGTGATTAACTGCCTCTGAAAACTGATAGAGGGTTAGCTATGGGTCAATTCCAACTCCATGGTACATAACAGCAACAACAACAACAACAATGTATGAAGAATGTAACAAGTGAACAACAACAATGTATGAAGAATGTAACAAGTGAACCAAGGATTTAGGAACCTTTCTGATTACTCTATGACTATTAATAAACAGCCCAGGAGGGGAAAACCTTCATGAAATGGATTGACTCAGTAACTGAAGTGGGAGTAGATGTGTAAGAGACAGTAAAGCTAAAGCTGGCTTAGGATAAAGCAGAGTTCAGAGCTGTTGGACATAAGGTCACTATGAGTTCCAAGAGACTCAACGGCATGTAACAATACTGGATTGCATATTGTGTGCCAAGTGCCATAATAGATATAATGCCATCTTCTGAGAGCCTATATAGGTTCTGCTTATTATTTTTACGGTGTCTCTCTGGAGATTAAGGTGCGCCTGATACAGGCCATGGTCTTTGCAATCACTTGTTATGCATCAGAGAGTTGGACAATGACTAGGGAGGAAAGAAGGAGAATTGACGCCTTTGAGCTGTGGTGCTGGAGAAGAGTACTGAATGTACCATGGACTGCCAAGAAAACAAACAGATTCATCCTAGAGAGGGTTAAACCAGGCTACTCCTTGGAGGCAAAGATTCTGGGGCTTCGCCTGACATACTTTGGACATGTTGTAAGGAGAGACAGGTCTTTAGAGAGGGACATCATGCTTGGTAGGGTAGAGGGACAGCGCAGGAGGGGAAGACCCTCTATGAGGTGAACTGATGCAGTGACTGGGGTAATCAGGATGGGTGTGTCGGAGGCAATGCGATTGGCACAGTAAAGAGCAGGGTTTAGGGCTGTTGTACATAGGGTCGCTATGAGTCGCAAACGACTGGACGGCACATAACAACAACAACAACAACAACAACAACAACAACCTGAAAGGGAATCAATGACCATTTCTGTCATTGATTTTATCTAGGAATGCTAACATTACACACAGATCAAAGAACTAGGACAAGATAGTGGCAGAATTGTGCACAAGGATCCACAGATATGGGACTGAATGGGTGTATAAAAACTTCATCTTGTAGTATTTATTTTATGCTCCTTGTATTCCTCCCACATTACATCTGTAAATTGGTAGAGTAGGAAGTGAGAACTTTTATATATTTTAATTCTGTATCCTTGGACAAATTAACATCTCTGGTTTCATCTTACATAACTTTGAAAATGGAGAGTTGGACTAAATAATCTTGGATTTGAACTATAGTTCTGATTCAAATATTACTCTATATTAAAAGTGTATATTCAGTACAATGAATTATCTGGAAACAGCAACTAAAGTAAAATAGTGAGTCAGATCTAAGATTTAGCAAAAAGACTTGAGAAAGAAAATTTAGTATTTTACTAAAAATAGGTAACTATTATGTAACAATAGTCTAGGGTCAAACAAACCTAGTTATATACTCCATCTGTCCCATATTACCATTTTTGCAAAAATCAACTTTTAATCCTGAAATCTTTAATTTTCTTATCACCATTTAAGGATACTCTTCTTCCAACAACATTTTCTCAATGACGGCTTTGTTTTCTTCACTGATAGTGCTATCCAGAGTCCAAGGCTATTAAAAAAGAGAAAAACATATTTCCTTTCTATTTACTATTTGTTAAAATTATTTTTTTTAAAAAAACAAACAAACCCAACTCAACATGATTACAAATAACTACCATTAACGATAACATTATAATTGCCACAAAAACACTATAAAATAGGTATTATCTCATAGAAACATCCATAGCATGACTAGCATTTGAAGTAGAAGAATTGAGACTTGGCATGCTAATGTTTGATTCCAAGACTCATGCTCCTATTCATGATAAAGAAATAATGGCTATATATTACTAGATACTGTTTCTCAAATTTTCTGTATTTTTTATCTCCTTTGAGTCATAATTACTCCTGACAAATTACATTCATTTTTAATTACCAAAATACGTATTTTCAGCTGAGTTCAAGTTCCTGGCTATTTTATCTAACTGCTCACTCAACATTTCTACATCGATGTCTAATAAATGACCTTTTCAAATTGAATATTTCAAAAGAAAGTTAACAATTACATACTACCACAAATTTTTCTCTTGCTTTCTCCAAGTTGTAAATAACTATTACCAAAGACATTCTAGCTCATGAAAGATAAAATCTAAACTCTTTAGCATAACCTATGCAACTAGACCCCAAGAAAAATGTTATATTATCTCTATAGGGATTAAGAATAAGTACTCATTCAAAGAAAGCCACTCTGGGATAAGGTAATGTACCTAGTCATTTCATTAAATACTTACAATAAGGTCATTCTCAGTTCTCCAGGATGGATCTAGATAGTGATCATGTTGTAATATTGATACTGTGGTTTCATCATTTCTATAATCAATTAAAAAAACAAACAACTATTAAAGGAGGCAAAGGATGTAACAAGTGAGACTATAGGATGCAGGCATTAAGCAAATATTTATTTAGTTCTCCTCTGAGCAGGGAGCTGTGATGGCCGAGTGTTAAGAAGCTGTGCTGCAAGCCCAAAGGCATGCAATTCAAAACCACCAGCTACTCTGAGAAAGAAGGATGGGTAATCATGACCCATGTGATTTTACTAGCTTTGAAAACTCGCTGGAGGGTCAGCTACAGGTCATTCCAATTCGACTGCTGGTACACAAGTCTTCCTAGCAGATAGATTTAAAACTGCAGAAATGTTTTTTCTACCTCTACTGCAAAAGCAGGTGCCTGCTGTACGGTACACTATTCTTAATAGCTAAACACCAACTGTCTGTTCACTTACTTCATTCCTCAAAAATATCTAACTTGATGCAACAATCACAATAGTTCTGTGGACTATTTCAGATTTTTTTTATGAGTATTCATATGTATATAGGAATTCAACTTTGTATTAATTTCGCCAGTTATTGCTAAAGTATAAAAGCTAAGTGAACTAACTCAGTTGCCTAAGGATAAATACTGTATGAGAACATTACTGTATAAACAGAAAGATTAACTAGTAAAACATGTATGAGGATCAGAGCGGGGAAGGTAGGAGCAGAGGCTTGAGGATAGGCAGGGAGTAATCACAGGGTTGCACAATTTGATGTATAAAGGGAGGGGTGGGTAAAAGAAATAGAAAAGATCCAGTGTGAAAAACAATGTATACAAACACTGTTAAGTAAACCAGTAAAAAATAAAATTTTTATTTAGAAAAAAGTTACCATTAATACCAAGAACCTGAAAACGAAGAAATAACAAAGATATGCAGCGATAAGATCAAAGTAGAAAGTGCTTATAAAACAGCAAATTCAAGTATATCAATTTGTGGTTGGCTATTATAAATGGTATTGCTTTCTTGATTTCCTTCTCTGAGTTCTCTTTGTTACTGTAGTTGTTGTTAGGTGCTGTCGACTCGCTTGCGACTCATAGTGACCCTATGTACAACAGCCCTAAACGCGGCTCTGTCCTGTGCCAATCTGTTTCTAACACACCCATCCTGACTACCCCAGTCACTGATTCAATCCATCTCATAGAGGGCATTCCCCTCCTGTGCTGTCCATCCACTCTACCAAGCATGATGTCCCTCTCCAAGGACCGATCCCTCCTTACATGTCCAAAGTATGTTAGACGAAGTTTCAGAATCCTTGCCTCCAAGGGGCGGCCCAGTTTTAACCCTCTCCAGGATGCCGTCAGGTTTAACCCTCTCTAGGATGAACCTGTTTGTTTTCTAAGCAGTCCATGGTACCCTCAATACTCTTCTCCAGCACCATAGCTCAAAGGCATCAATTTTCCTTCTGTCCTCCCTACTTATTGTCCAACTCTCTGATGCATAACAAGTGATGGCAAAGACCATGGCCTGTATCAGACACACCTTAGTCTCCAGAGAGACACTACTGCTCTTCAGTATTTTGGAGAGGTCCCTAAAAGCAGACTTTCCCATCACAATATGCCTTTTAATTTCCTGGCTGCTGTTCAAGAATGTTAATTGAGTGTTAATTGTAGAGCCAAGCAAAGTAAAGCTGCGAACAATCTCAATCTCTTCACCATCTATCCTGATGTTGCCAATTGGCCCTGTGGTGAGAATCTTTGTCTTCTTGACATTGAGCCTCAATCCATATTGAAGGCTGCAGTCCTTGACCCTCTGCAGCAAGCGCTTCAGGTCCTCCTCAGTTTCAGCCAGCAGGGTTGTGTCATGTGCATAACGCAGATTGTTGATAGATCTTCCACCAATCCTGACACCACATTTCTTCTCATAGAGCCCAACCAGGAATCCTATTAATTTCTGGATATTGATCTTATAGCTTGCCACTCTACTAAATTGGCCTATTAATTCCAACAGGGTTTTTGGCCTATTAATTCTAACAGGTTTTTTGTTGAGTCTTTGGGTTTTCTGTGTACATCATCATATCATCTATATATAGTGACAGTTTTACCATCTCTTTGCGGATCTGGATGTCTTTTATTTCCTCCTCTTGTCATATTGCCCTACCAAGCACTTCCAATACAATACTGAAAAGAAGTGGTGTCAGTGGGCATCTTTGTCTGGTCTCTGTTTTCAAGGAAAATGTTTTTAGTGTTTTTCCATTGAGAATGATATTGCCCCAGTGAGGTACCATCTCCAGTAACAGTGGCAAAGTTTAACAGGGCAACAAGTAATAAATGTTGGAGAGGATGTGGTGAGATAGGCACTCTTATACATTGTTGGTGGCATTGTAAAATGGTACAACCATTCTGGAAGGTAGTTTGGCGCTTCCTCAAAAAGCTGAACGTAGAAATTCCATATGACCCAGCTATTCCACTTGGAATATACTCTGAGAAAAGGAGACCTGAGGCACAAAGATTTGTACACTAGTGTTCATAGCAGTATTATTCACCATCAAAAGAACATGGAAACAGCCCAAATATCCAATCACAAGCAAACGGATTGAGAAATTATGGTCACTCACAGACTGAAATACTATGCAACACGTAGGAGCAAGATTGTGTAAATTATAATCTAACCTGGGAAAGACTCGAGAGTATTATTCTGAGTGAACAGACTCAATCCCACAAGTATAAATATTGCAATGAGCATGGTTCAAAATTGGGAAGGGTGTACACCAGGGATGTGTCCTATCTCCATACCTTTTCAACCTGTATGCAGAGCAGATTATCCGAGAGGCTGGGCTCTATGAGGAGAAGCGTGGCATTAGGATTGGTGGACGATCTGTCAACAATCTGCTTTATGCAGATGACACAACCCTGCTCGCTGAAACTGAGGAGGACCTCATGCACTTACTGCAGAGGGTCAAGGACTGCAGCCTTCAGTATGGATTGAGGCTCAATGTCAAGAAGACAAAAATTCTCACCACCGGACCAATCGGTAGCATCAGGATGGATGGCAAAGAGATTGAGAGTGTTCACAGCTCCAGTTTGCTCGGCTCCACGGTCAACACTCTTGGCACCAGTAGCCAGGAAATCAAAAAACATATTGTGATGGGAAAGTCTGCAGTTAGGGACCACTCTAAAGTATTCAAGAGCAATGGTGTCTCTCTGGAGACTAAGGTGCGCCTGATACAGGCCACGGTTTTTGCAATAACATCAGAGAGTTGGACAATGACTAGGGAGGATAGAAGGAGAATTGATGCCTTTGAGCTGTGGTGCTGGAGAAGAGTATTGAATGTACCATGGACTGCCAAGAAAACAAACAGATTCATCCTAGAGAGGGTTAAACCAGGCTGCTCCTTGGAGGCAAGGATTCTGGGGCTTCGCCTGACATACTTTGGACATGTTATAAGGAGAGACAGGTCTTTAGAGAGGGACATCATGCTGGGTAGAGTAGAGGGACAGCGCAGGAGGGGAAGACCCTCTATGAGGTGGATTGACTCATTGACTGGGGTAATCGGGATGGGTGTGCCAGAGGCAATGAGACTGGCACAGGATAGAGCAGGGTTTAGGGCTGTTGTACATAGGGTCGCTATGTGTTGCAAACGACTCGACAGCACATAACAACAACAACATAAGGATCCAAAAGGGGTGGGAGAGGTTGGAAGTAGAGGGATGAGGATGTGCAGGGGAAGGGCGATTAATCATGAGGTTGTACAATTTGATAGGGGTAGGGTGAGGGAAATTGAAAAAATTTGTTTTTAAAAACAACATATTTGAATTTTGTAAATAAACTAATAGAAAATTTTAAAAAACCCAAAAACATAGCACAGTGAAGGAAAAAAAAAAAAACATTTTCACGAGAATACATATAATTAATAAAAAGAACTTGGGCTACTTGGGGACTTTTTTATGCTAATAGGGAATTAGAGCAACATTTAAAGTCTTTTCTGACATCTGTTTTTTTCTTTCTTGTCTTTTTTAATAACTGTTTGCTTTTTAAATATGATGTCCCTTATTTCATCCCACAATCTATCTAGTCTTCAGTCATTAATGTTCAATGCTTCAAATCTATTCTTGAGATGGTTTCCAAATTTATGTGAGATATATTTAAGGTTGAATTTTTTTTATCTTGGGGATTTGTTTTCATTTTCTTCATCTTCTTCAGCTTTCTTGTTACACAGTGATAACAATGGTCTTGAACACAAGTAGAGACCATAAGAATGGGGACTGTATACCAAAGAAGGAATTTTTGTTTTGCTTTTCAAAGAGGGGAGCAAACTGGGGGGAAGCTGGGCAGGGAGAAAAGTGCAACAATGAATGAATGGAAATCCAAAATCTCTGTAAATGTTCATTAAAATTAATAAAAAAATTTTTTTAAAAAAAAGAACACAAAATTTGGCAATGTTTCTATTATATATAGGATCTTTATGAGTTGGAATGAACCTAGTGGCACCTAACAACATCAACAACCAATGCTCTGTTCCACAGGGGATCCCCGACCTTGCATCCGTACTGAGCTTTTCCACCATCTCTTTCCTTAGATGCCATCAATTTCATTCGTGTGTATGCTACAGGTGAGGTCCATGTGTACAGTTGCCTGGTTCAGGTGCAACTCAGTCTCTAGACTGACATTATTGCTCTTCAGCACTCTGACAGCAAATTTACCTAATACAATTAATCTTTTTATTGCTTGACTGCTGGTCCCGAGAGTGTTGACTGTGGAAGCAAGGAAACTGAAATTGTTAATAATCTCAATCTTGTCTCCATTTATCATGGTGTTGTCAATTGGCCTTGTGGTGTTTTTCTTGATGTTGAGCTTCAATCCATATTGAATATGCAGTCCTTGATCTTCTGCAGCAAACGTTTCAGGTCTTCAAGGCTGTGTCATCTGTTTAACAGACTGAGGAGTCATCCTCTAATCCTGATGTCACATTCCCCATCTTAAAGCCTAGTCTCTTGAACGATCTGTTCTGTATACAGATTTAAAAGGCGTGGAGCCAGGACGCATTCCTGATGCACATACATAAAAAACACATATTTATTGTTTATCTCACCAATGAAAATTATTTAATAATTGTTATATACCAAGGGCTTGGCATGTAGAAGGTATTTGTTGAACAAGTGAATGAAGCATGGATCATATACATCTAAGAGTCAAGGGATGAGAATTTTAAACTAAAACCCACCAAAGATTTGAAGGACTAATATGATTATATTTGGATGTACTTTAGGGAAGACTGTAGGGGAAACAAGGAGGGAGATAAGAAAACAAAGTGCACACCTATGATGGTGTGAATGGGTAAATAACTAACTGCATAAATAGGTCTGAAGTTCATTAATTGGTGCATCAGCATATAGTATATAAAACCTTAGATGGTAATGCCAAGTCCTATGACAAAACTCCTTTGGGACACCATGATTTAAAGAAAAAAACAGAAGAAAAGAAGAATGAGAAGGAAAACTAAGGAAGTGAAAGGAAAGATAAAATGATTCACTTTTGTCTTCTAACTTAGGTACTTATTACTTAAGTGTTTAAAAATATGTTTTTAATTCATCTACATACTTCAGGGTGCACCATTCATACTAAATACCATAAAGACAGAGCCACACTCTGAGGCACCAGACTATGCTAGTAATACTCCTTGGAATTGTGTAAGGCAATGTTTTGACCATGAACCCATAATCTTTTAAACTCTGCTTCTTGTTGTTGTTAGGTGCCATCAAGGCAAGTATAACTCATAGCAACCCTACAAACAAAAGATCTGAACCCTGTCCATCTTGTTCTGTGCCATCCTCATTATCTCCAGCACATGTAAGTCCACTGCTGCAGACACTGTCAATCCAGCTCATTGAGAGTCTTCCTCTCTTTCACTGTCTTGGATCTTTCCAACTATAATGTGACTCTCCAAAGAATAACCTCTGCTAGTCACAGAGTCAGAATCAACTCATAACTAACCCTTCAGTAGATTTTCAGCAGCAGTAAGTTGCATGGGAGATGAGATTGCCCATCTTTCTCCCATGGAGCAGTTGGTGGATTCTGTGTTCCTTTGGGTTGGCAATCCAACTCCTTCCCACTACTAGCCACCAAAGCTCCCTAAAGAGAAGCAGGGGAGGAGAGGGACTTAAACATACGAAGAAAAAGAAGGCTCTAATGTGAAAGAGTGAGAGTGCCAATGCTTTAACATGATCTTTAGTGTTTACAAATCCACTCATTCCTCTCTTACTACAGATTAAACATCCCTGCCCACTTATCTCACAGATTTTTTTAAAAGTCTATTAAATCAAGCATGTAAAATCAGTTGGTCAAATTTACACAAATGTGAACAATTACTGTTAAAACAGGGAGCTCTGGTGGCCTAGAGGTAAGAAGTTGCGCTGCAATCCTTAAAGCATGTGGTTTGAGGCCACGGGTTGCTTTGTGGGAGAAGGATGGGCAATCTCCTCCCTGACTCTGCAACCTCCCAGAGGATCAGCTATAGTTCAATTCTGACTCAACAGTGCACAACAAACAACTGCTAATATACACCAGTACATAATTGATCTGGAACTCTGGTGGCCTAGTGGGAAAGGAGTTGTGCTACCAACCCAAAGGCATATAGTTCAAACCCACCAACTGCTTCTATGGAGAAAGGCAATCTCCTCCCAAGTGGTTTTTAACCTCTGAAAACCTGTTAGAGGATCATCTGTGAGTTGGCAACTGATTGATCTGGGCTGCTTCTTGTGAAGATTTTAGAGAGAAAGACAATATGAATTTAATTATTCTTTACACTTTTATAGCGCTTTAAAGGCCACAAAACACTTTCATGCCTGCAATGTCGGCTCCTGGTCGGCAAGGCTGGTATTCTTTCCCCATTTCAGAGAGGTCCTGATAAAAAAACCGCCCTTATGAAATTTCCCAATATGGGTAAAAAATGGTCAAACACTGGTAATTTCACATAGTTCAACCTAAGAGATTAACAAAGTTGTTCACAGTATAATTGAGAGTTGCTTCCCTGGATGCACTCCAAGTAGCACCAAAAAATCTGGAGGACAACTACCTGGCCAACAGACTGGAAGGGATCCGTATTTGTTTCCCAAAGAAAGTTAAGCTGATAGAGTGTGGCAATTATAAAACATCATCATTAACATCACATGCAAGCACAATTCTGCTGAAAATCATCCAAAAATGACTGGAACAGCACATCAGCAGAGAACTGCCAGATGTGCAGGCTGGGTTTAAAAGAGGCCTTGGTACTAAGGATATTTTAGCTAATGTTAGATCTTGGCTGGAAGCAGAGAGTACCAGAGGAATGTCTGTCTGTGTTTCATTGACTATGCAAAGGCATTTAATTTTGTGGATAGCAACAAACAAAGAGTGACTACCTTTCTTTCAGAAGAATGGGAATCCAAGAACTTTATTGTGCTTATGCAAAACCTATACTTAAACCAGGAGGCAGTTGTCAGAAGAGTGCAAGGAAACACTGCATGATTCAAACTTGGGAAAGGAGTGTGCAAGGATGCATCCTGTCTCCATACTTTTCAATCTGTATGCATCCAGGAGCCTAGACTTTACGAGGAGGAATGTGACATCAGGATTGGAGGAAGACTCATTAACAACCTGTGTTATGCAGATGACATAACCTTGCTGAAACTGAGGAGGACCTGAAGCACTTGCTGCAAAAGGTCAAGTACTGCAGGCTTTAATATTGACTGAAGCTCAAGATTAAGAAAACAAAGATTCTCACCACTGGGCTGACTGGCAGCATCATAATAGATGGTGAAAAGATTGAGATTGTTAATAGTTTGTTTGCTTGGCTCCACAATCAACACTCTCGGAATCAGCAGCCAGGAAATCAAAAGACAAATTGCACTAGTAACGTCTGCTGTCAGGAACCTCTCGAGAGTACTTAAAAGCAGTGATGTCAGTATGGAGACTAAGGTTCACCTGATCCAGGCCAAAGTCTTTGCAATTACTTGCCATGTGTCAGAAAGTTGGACAATGACTAGGGATGACAGGAGAATTGCGGCCTTTGAGCTTTGATGCTGGAGAAGAGTACTGAATATACCATGGAATGCTAGGAGAAAAAGCTGGTTTGTCCTAAAGGGTGAAGTCAGGCTGCTCCTTGGAGGAAACGTTTCTGAAGCTTCATCTGACATACTTTCAGCATGGAGGAAGAAGTGACCAGTCATTAGAGAGGGATATCATGCTTAGGAAGGTGGAGGGACAGGGCAAGAGAGGAAGACCCTTGATGAGATGGATTGATTCAGTGACTGGGGTAATGGGGGGGAGGTGTGTCAGAGACCATTAAGGTTGGCTCAGGATAGAGCAGGGTTCTGAGCAATTGTACATAGGGTTGCTATGATGGCACATACCAACAACGGTGGCTTAGTGGTAAGGAGTTCCACAGGCAAAACAAAAGCAAGAGGTTCAAATTCACCACAATAAAGAAGGGCCTGAAAACCACTGAAGGGTGAGCTATGAGTCTGTTCCAACTCAATAGAACAGGTGAATTAAGATTCACATTTTGGATCCTTACTTTACTACTGTGGGGCACTGGAAGAACATTCTTAAAATAGTACTGATTTCTTCAAGCGAACAGGAAAAAAAAGTAGTAGTGTACTGATTTCCTAACTTGGAAAGCAAGACATCAGTGCCATCAAAGTGAGCTTGCTGTCTTGTCTTGCAGAAATCCTATTAAATGGTATGTAGCAGAGTCCTGATACCATCACTAAGGGTGGATGGTGAAAGTAGACAGAGTGTTTACAGAGCTACCTACCTTATGTCAAAGCACAAGCCATAATTATTTCATGTGATCCTCACAACCACCTTATGCAGGCTCTCAGTTTACATGAAAGAGATCCGAGGCTCAGACAGGTTAAGGTTTTGTCGAAGTCACAATGATAGTGACTGGTAGGGTCAGTGAAGCTAGAATGCAAATATCAAGCTGCCTTCAAATTATTCCTTATGAAAAAGGGGACCTGTGACTAGAAGAGATAAAACACTCGCTCAAGGTCACAAAGGCTTGCAGGGGTCCCTGCCCTCAGTCAGGTCCTGTTCTGAAAACTCCAGGAGACACCCTGGGGAGACAGGAGGGGTGAGGAGGAAGACAACAGTTGGCGCTTATGCAATGTGTCAGGAGAGGTCGGCGCCCTCAAGGAACTTCGATAAAAGATGTCAAACACTAGTGCAGGAGTGTCTGCCTGCTGGTCTCGGGACGTGCTGGAGGCACGGGTGGGGCCGCTAGCACGGCCTTCCAATCCCTCCCCTGCCCCTTGCCGCATTCGTGGTGACCTCCCCACAGCGCACTCTCCTCGCACCCGCGGCCCTCTCTGCCCCAAGCCGACCCAGATTCTTCGCCTCACCCTTGCTGTGCTGTGACAGCGACTACATCTCCTTCGATGTCTACATCCACATCTTCTGCCGCCATGATGAGACTTGACCCGGTCCTGTTCTCCACAGAGATCCCGCGAGAGGTGGAGCGTCGGGGGCGGGGCTTCCCGTCATCGGGAGGCGGTGACGCCTGCTCCGGCCCCGCCCACCCGAGGAGGCGGGGCTTCCAGGGAAAAGGCTCCCGGCTCCTCCGTGGGTGACCCCATTCTGTGAATATCCTTGGGAGGTTGACAGTGGCCCCGGGGATTTTTCAGACTTATGTCTTTCCACAACTTTCACAGCTCTCTTTTGTAAAATGAGGATAATAGCAAATCTTTTTCGGCAGCATTGGAAAGATTAAGTCAGACTGTGTATGCTCTGTAAAGTACAAATGTGACATCTATGAGGGAATCGTAACTTCCTTGGTAGTCACATTTTAGGAGGAGAATAGACCTTCAGAACGTAGGGAAAATGTTGAAAGACCTGTGTTTTCTTTAAAACTCAACAAACACCTAAACTATCTGGTCACATGTCATGGCTATAGGGAGTTAGCGGTTCCAATCCACTTGTGGCTCAGTGGGAGAAAGACTGGAAATGGAACAGTCGGCTTTCCTAAAAATTTACAACCTTGAAAGCCCTGTGGGTTTGTTCTACATTGTCCTATAGGGTAACTGAGTTGCAATTGGCTTGGTGAACCGCTATAATTCGCTTTTCTATAAGTTCTGATTCATAGCAACCCTCCTTGATGACAGTATGTTTCAGTTAAATCATCCCCGTGATTTAATAAACCAAAGGGGAAACCACATTACTATGTGAGTTCAATCTGTCTTACTCTATCAGGTCTCTGATGCAGTAAACCTTTATGGGAGGACATTGCCCATCTTTCTAACAAGGAGTAGGTAGATTCAAACTGCAGACCTTTTAATTAGCAGTGCATCACACTACTCACAGCCCTACCACTAGTCCTGTGAGTGTGAATTGTTGTTGTTGTTGTTATTTGTCATTGGGTCAAATATGATTCCTAGCGAACAACATATCTGAATCTTATCCTATTCTGTGCCATCCTCCCAATCTCTGACATCCTTGAACCCATTGCAGTAGTTACTGTGTCAATCCATCTCACTTTGGCTCTTTCTTTCACTGACCTTCCACCTTTCCTAGAATGATGCCCCTTTCCAAGGAATACCTTCTCCTAGCAACATGCTCAAAGTATATGGGACAAAGATTCGCCATCCCTGCCTCCAAGGAGCACTCTGGTTGCACTTTCTCCAACACGTATCTTTTCTTTTGGCAATTAATGACATATTCAGTACTCTGTCCAAATTTCCTACCTCAAAGTCACCAATTCTTCTATTGTTGTTCTTACTCACTGTCTAGCTATTGGTTGCATACCAAGTGCTTGAAAAGACTGTGGCCAGAATTGGGCACATCTTAGTTTTCAAACTGACATCATTATTCCTCAGAACTTTGGACAGGTCCCTCACAGAAGACTTTCCCAATGCAATATATGTTTGATTTCTTGACTGCTAGCATCAAAGGTATTGATTGTGGAACCAAGTAAGATGAAGTGGTTGGCAATTTCAGTCTTTTCTCCGTCTATCATGATCTTGCCTATAACCCCAGTGTTGAGGATTGTTACCTTCTTGATGTTGAGATGTAATCCATACTCAAAGCTATAGTCTTTGATCTTCTCTAGCAAACACTTCAAGTCCTCCTCACTTTCAGCGAGATTGTGTCAGCGAGATTGAATAATGCAAGTTGTTGATGAACCTTCTTCCTATCTTGTTACATTTTTCTTTGTGCATTCCAGCTTCTCTAATGATTTGTTCAGCATACAGACCTGACAGGTGTGGAGAAAGGATACAGCCCTGACACACACCTTTCTTAGTTTAAACTATGCAATGTTCCCTTGCTCTGCTCAGACAACCTCTTCTTTGTCTAGGTATAGGTTTCATATAAGCGCAATTAAGTGTTCTGGGATTCCCATTCTTCTCAAGGTTAACCATAGTTTGTTATGATACACACAGCCAAAGGCCTTTGCAAACAATAAACAGAAATAGACATTTGCTTGTGTTTTCTGCTTTCAGCCAAGATCTGTTTGCAACAGTGGTATCTCTAGTGCCACAGCCTCTTCTAAACCCAACTTGAACTTCTGGCAGTCTTTTGTCAATGTACTACTGCTCTATCCATTTTGGGATGCTCTTCAACATTTTGCTAGCATGTGATATTAGTGATATTGTTGAATAATTTCTACATTGTGTTGGATCACCTTTCTTGATGACAAGAACAAATATTCTTCAAGTCATTTAGGTACTGACTCTTCCAGTAAGGTGGCCAGGAAGCTGCCTTCCAAATTTTTTGGCACAGATTGATGAGTATATACAGGGCTTCATCTGTTAGGTGAAACATATCAACTGGTAACCCATCAATTCCTGATGTCTTATATTGTGCCAATCCCTTCAATTCAGTTTGAACTTTATCTTTTATTACCAATAGCTCTTGGCTGTATGATACATCCTGAAATATTTCAGTGTTGGCCAATTCTTTTTGGTACAGTGACTCTGTGTATTCCCTCCATCTTCTTTTGATGATGCTTCCTGGATCATTCAAGATTTTTACCATAGCATTGCTCAGTATATTGCTTGTAGCTCAAGGCTTAAATTTGTTTTTCAGTTCTCTCAGCTCACTTAATGCCAAGTGAACTCTTCCCTTTTTATTCTCTAACTCCAGCTCTTTACACATTCTGTTATATTACTTTGCATTGCCTTTTTGTAATGCTCTTTGACAGAATCTGTTCATCCCTTTCATTTCTACATCTCTTCACTTTGTCTTAGCTTTGCAACACTCTGTTGCAGTAATAAATAACAATAAATAACTCAGGGTTATTTGCGGCTTAGTGATAAGGAATTGTACTATCTACCCACAGGCTCACAGTTTGAATCCACCAGCTGCGCCATAGAAAAAAGATGGGCAATCTCCTTCCATGTGATTTGCTACTTATGGAAACCCACTGGAAGATCAACTACAGTTCAGTTCTGACTTGATGACACACAGCAACAAGAACATTATAAAAAAAATGGGAAAAAAAGAACATTATCACCACTCATGTTTACAGATAAAGAAACTGAATATTCAGAAATGTGAAATGACTGCTCAAGACACACAGCTAATCAATGATCAAGTGGACTCTAGAATCAGCCCTATGACAGATTTAGGTCAGAGACAAGAATTCAAGTATTTCTGACTCTTTACTCACACTATCTGTTGTTGGGATCATACAAAGAGGGTGTCTAAGTCTATCCACAAAGTGTTTGGCTAGTATCACACTTAAATTGAGCAGATTCAGCAGCAGAAAAAGGAAATCTCAACAGTAACAAGGAAGAGGAGGCAGCGTGCAAGGAAGAGGGCCAGTGATGCCTGTGCCAGACAGACCAATATCTACACAGAGGAACAGTAGCCTCAGCAAAGAACCTGACGTGAGACAGAGCTGTTTGGGACTACAGGTCCACAAAACCAGAGCCAGAGCCAGAAACCTTCATGCAAGCTTGTTGGAAGACTAGAGAAGATGACACAACTGTCAGGACTAAGGCAAATTAGTAACATTGACCAAAGCCATCAAACTGAAGATCAAAGGACCTGCAGTCATGCTGGAGAAGCTATCTGGACTGAGGGATTGTATCTTGCTGCAAACCTAAGTTATAGTCTTTTAACTTTCCAAACAAACTTTATAACTGTGGAACGGCTCTGTATAGTCGGTGTGGTGAGTAACAGCAGTAAGATTGGTGTTGGAATCAGCAGAAGGTGTAGGAACAAGGGAACCTATGTCTGACTTTATAGGAATCGTTCTTCTACTGTGGATGTTGTTGATGGGGATAGTTCCTCTTTGAGGAAACAGCAGAGGTCAGACTTGGCCATCTGCCTGCTGCATATATTCTTTATTGTAGCCCCTGATTCATTATGATCCTCATACAATCAATGGAATCTGTACCCAGTCCCAAACCAAACCATCCCATAATTAATTGTGGTCAGGCCATTGGGATCCATAAAGATTTCACTGACTGATGTTTTGGAGTACAGCTCTAGGCTTCTATATGAGCCTAATACTCTGCTGAAACCTGCTCAATATTATCTCTTTCATATTCTCTCTTTCTCTCTCTCCCCCTTTCCCCCCCCCTCTTTCCTCTCCCTCTTCTCTCTTCCTTCCCCCCCCCCGCCCATCTCTCTCCACCTCTGTCTTCTCTTAAATTGGAATTGACTCATATCTTAACCTCCATTGGGTCTCCAAGGTTGTAACAACATGGAAAGAGATGGCCCAGCTTTCTCTTGTGGAACTGCTGGTGGATTTCCATGTTCAGAGAGTTGCAGCCTTTAGGTTACCAACTCAACTTCGACAGACTATGCCGTCAATGTCATGTTGTTTTTACATATTGTCAACTCAGAACCGATTTATTGCTGAAGCCTCCAGCAGGTTTTCAGAAGCAAAACTTCAACAGGAGGAGATTGCCCACCTTCCATGAAGTAGCTGGTGACTTCAGACCACCTGTGTTTAGGTTGACAGTGAAACTCCTTATCATTAAGCCACCAGACATCACAGTAGTGTGTAAACTGCAAGTGAAGTATATTGACTGAGAATTAAACTCTGACATCCCACATTTTAAACTGCATGGTTCAAAATCCAATCTGTATGCAGAACATATCATTCAAGAATCTGGACTATATTGAAAAGAATGTTTTCTCAGGATTAAAGGAAGACTCATCAACAACCTTCATTATGCAGATGACACAACCTTGCTTGCTGAAAGTGATTTGAAACTCTTGTTGCACAGAATCAAAGACTACCACTCTCAAAATAGGTTACATCTCAACATCAAAACCAATTACAATGTCATAATAGGTGGTTAAAAGATAGAAATTGTCAATGATTTCCTTTTTTTATGAATCCTCTATCAACTGCCTGGGATCCAGCAGCCAGGACATCAAAAGGCATTATTACATTGGGAAAACCTCCTGTCATGGACTCCTCCAAAGTGCTGAAGAGCAATAATGTCAGCTTGAAGA